CTTTTCAATAAGATGAAATCCCAGTTGTTGATTTTTTCTGCTAGTTCCCGTGCTACTGAGGTTTTGTTCATAAAGTCTTTTCCTATGCCAATATCTTCAAGAGTTCTACCTAACTTATCTTCCAGCAAGTTTAGTGTTTCTGTCCTAATATTTAGATCTTTAATCCATTTAGATCTTAGTTTAGTGCATGGTGATAGATATGGGTCTAGTTTTAATCCCTGACAGGTTGAAATCCAGTTTTTCCAACACCATTTATTAAATAGGCTATCTTTCCTGCAGTGAGGGTGGTTGGCTCCTTTGTCAAAGATGAGGTGGCTTGTAGTGCTTTTAAAAACAAAGATTTGTGTACCAGCATAAACTGTAAAACAAAATATCTACATATATTTTATAAGGTAAAATAAGTATAACTTATGTGACTTCACAGAAATGTCTTAAGAGGTCATGGACAGGACTATTTGCTCAAGCACTGTTATAATTCAGAAGTTAACCAGAGGACTCATAAATTTCACCTTCATATTTATTCAAGAGAAGTTAAATTATATGTAAGAATATGCATAGCAGCTAATTCTAGAAACAGACTAAGAGAATGAATAGACAGTTTGTGGTTGTTTCCATGCAATGAAATATACCCAACAGTATAAAGGAATAAACCACCATTCAGCACCATGGATAAACTTCAAAAACATACAGGGTAAAAGATGACCAGATATAATAGTAGTATATGAAGCTAAAACAGGAAAAACTCCTGTATGTTATAAAAATCAAAATAATGGTTGCTTGGGAACATACTGACCAGGAAGGGATTAAGGGAGCTTTCTGGGGCAGTGGAACAGTTCTGTGTCTCCACAGATGTGGATTATTCAGATAATATGCATTTACCAAAATGGTTGTCTACTTAAGATCTGTGTGTTTCAATGAATGCAGATGGCACCTTACTTTTTTAAGTGTGTGTCTGTGTGAGTGTGGGGGAGATGGCCAGAGAAAATTACTGAAGTACATTTACTAAAGAATGTGAAGTTTTTCTAACTTTTTTTTTTTTTGGTACCAGGGATCGAACTCGGGACCTTATTTTTTTTTTGGTACTGGGGATCAAACTTGGGTCCTTGAGCTTGCGAAGCAGGCACCGGAAGCACTGAGCTAAATCCCTGGCTCAAGGGACCTTGTGCTTTTGAGGCAGGCAGCAGAACCACTGAGCTAAATCCTGGGCCCTAACATTTTTTTTTTAATGTTTCTTTTTAGAGAAGCTGCTCGAGAATGTCGTAGAAAGAAGAAAGAATATGTGAAATGCCTGGAAAATCGAGTTGCAGTCCTGGAAAATCAAAATAAAACTCTAATAGAAGAGTTAAAAACTTTGAAGGATCTTTATTCTCATAAAAGTGTTTGATTCTTTAAAAAGAATATTTTTGTGGACTTCTCCAAAAAGTCAGATGGATTTCTTTGTAGTGGAGTTTTATAAATTAAAAGGTCAGAAATGAAGCTAATTTTTATATAGGCTTTTGCAACTCAAAGATGAATGTCTTCTCCAAGAGATTTGGTGACAGAGGATACAATGGAAAGTGACATCAAGGAAGCTACTGGCACAACTGGAAGCTTTGTAAAAATTAAACATGAGAAGCAAGAAATAAACTTCAGCAGTGTGAACATTCTAACTAGTCATCAGTCCAAAAATGGCAGAGAAGTCATCAATCCAAATTCAGTAAATAGAACTTTTAAAAATAAATCAGTTTCCCCTATAGGTTTGCATTTCTGTTTTTCTGAAATTTACCTTTTTCAGGGGTGTGTGTGTGTTATTTCTACCAATAAATTCTAAATTACAAATTAAAAGAAAACCTGATACATTATGAAATATATAAATTTTGTGTTCTGATTATGTATACTTATTTTAATGTCAGATCTTCTAAATGGGTTAAGAGTCTGTTGGACTTGAGGTGATTTTTTTGAGACTGGGTTAACTATTTTTGAGGTCTTGTCCTAAGAGGAATCTAAGGTACACAAAAGGAGTGTGGTGATTTTGTAACATTTTTTTATCAGAATGAAAAGAGAACTATTTAAACGTTTGATACTTTTAAATAGTTTGGTTTTAGCTTACTCTGGTAAGGGTAATTTTTTTTTTACAAAAACATAATAAATTGGTTTTTTGATTCTATATCCTATATGCAGTTAAATATCCATTACTTATTCTGTTGTGCTTTAACAGGATGAAATGTTTACAGGCCCTTAAAATACTTTTTAAAAACCTTCTCAAGCTTGCATACCAAAGGTTTTCCAAGAGGACTTTATAGTCAATTTAAAGTTTATCAGGTTCTGAAATAGTACAGTTATTAAGGCAACTTTATGTTAGAGACTATTTTGTAATATAGTGAATGGTACCTTTATAAGAAAAGTGACTGCCAATATATTTTTATAGCTAATCTTTATAAATTTTAATGTTTTTAATGATTATTTTAAATGTTTATATAGTTTAGTAAAAAAGATTTTGCATCTCAAAGTATCACTTTTATATATGGGAAGTAAAGTTTTCAAATTAGCTAATATTTGAATTGTATGTTTTATATGGAGTTTACCTAAAGCTTGAAATGCTGTCAGTATACCAGTGTTTAACCTCTGTACTTTAATTTGTATACACTTTGAAATTGTACTGCAGAACAATTGTGTGCTTCATATATAATAAGTTTCATATTGTCTATGAAATTAAAGAACATTGATAAAAGTTTGCTGAATACAGTATAAAATACAGTGCTTGCTATATGAATGACAAGCTTGCTGACAGCCATTCTGTTAATTACATTAACTAGTGTTCTAGTTTTAAAGTGAGGACAAATTTGCAAACCTGGTGTGTACAGCCTGTTTTATTTATTTATTTAATTACATATTTTTTGGTACCGGGGATCAAACTCGGGACCTTGTACTGGCGAGGCAGGTGGCGGAACCACTGAGCTAAATCCCTGGCCCTACAGCCTGTTTTAAAGGATGTTTTTGCTTTGATTCACTCAGAACCAGTTATAATAAACCTAAAATTTCTGTTCTACAAATGTTTAGGAGCCTATTACGCAGAAGCTTTTATCTAACTGATAACTTTATGATTGATCCTCCTGGTAAAATTTTTCATTAAAAGGGTCTTTTAAAATGGGATTCCACTGATTTGGCAGTAGTTTTATGAAAAGGAAAAAAATCTGATCAGAATCATGTTGTATAAAGTCAGAATCTCAAACTTGTGGCCTGTTAGCCCTGAAGAAGAGGTCTGGGGCCACGAAGGCCATGGAAGGTTTTAATGGATGGTACACTCGGTGGGTGTTGGGTGTGGCTGCAGCACTGGTCTACTTAGTCCTTAACATGTTCACACTGGGCCCACATATCCGTGACTGCCCCGGGCCACCTGATGACCACCAGCAGTTCCGGCTGGGGATGTGTCAGCAAGGTGCCTGCAGACTTGGTGCAGAGCCTCACTTGCTGGGCCTGGTGCCTCAGTCTGGCTGTGTGATAAGGCTGGGCACCCACTGCTCACACTATAAACACACACTATGTTATTTTCCTGGCTGTTGTGCTAAATCAGTGTGGAGCTTACCAAATTTTAATGAGTTTATATTGGATTGTAGTCCAAACATGAAATTATATTTCAAACTGCAGACCAAACTCACCTATTTTATGTAATAAAGTATCAGTTTATATATATTCTAATGAAAATACTGCTTATGAACACATCTAAGGTATATAAAATTAGACATCCTTTTCACTGAACAGCACGAAGACTGGGCATTTGTTAAAGAGTTTAGGAAATTTGTTTAATCTTTCAATTATTATCTTCAAGTTACCAGGTTAAACTTGCATTTTTCTCCAATTAAAATGTGGACACAGGAGGGCTAGGGATTTAGCTCAGTGGTTCCACGCCTGCCTTGCAAGTGCAAGGTCCTGAGTTCGATCCCTAGTACCAAAAAATGGACATGGGAGACATACAGAAATACGTTATGGTTTAGAAATAATCTGGGGCCAGGGATTTGTTTCAGTGGTGCTGCGTGCCTCGAAAGTGCAAGTTTGATCCCCGGTACCAAAAAGAAAAAAAAGAATTATATAATCTGCTGGGCATGGTGGTCACACCTCCCAGCACTTGGGAAGCTGAGGCAGGAGGATCACCACGAGTTCGAGGCCAGCCTGGACTACATAGCAAGACCTTGTCTCAAGTACTCTCACAGCAAAATTTACTGTCATAAAAACTTTTCCATATTGTTTAAATTATAAAACAGGAAAAGGACACCTACATTGAGGTTGTAGAATCCAGAAAGCTTCCCTACATGTACATATCTACTATTTATCGAAAGCTTACTATGCATAAAAAATTACAGCTAACACTAAAGATAGTGTCTCCCAGTGTGTGTATGTATAGTATATATGTATGTACTGAGGATTGAACCCAGATCCTTCACACTGAGCTACATCTCTAGCCCTCTTTATTTTTATTTTTTTTTCATTTTTTATTTATTCATTTTACCGGGGATCGAATTTGGGTCCTTGGCGCTTGCGCAGCAGGTGATGAAACCCCTAGCTCTTTTTATTTTTGAGACAGGGCTTCCCTAAATTGCCGAGGCTGGGCTTGAACTTGCAGTCCCCTTCTGCCTCACCCTGCTACAATGCTGGGATTACAGGTTGCACTTGGAATTCAGATCTTAGTGTCCTCTTTGCGATCAGTAGTTACCTAAGGTTATGTGTTACTAGGAATTAGATTTAAATCCAGTCCAACCACTCAACAAAGTAGTATCCCTTCTCAAACACACAGCTCTAGGGTGCTGTCTCTATCCCCAGTCTAGTCTGGTTCACAGAAGTACTTCCATAATTGCTCAACGAATGAAGGTCGGAGTTCGGTCTCACTAAATTACATAGAGCCTCGACACTGCCCAAATTCATAAACTAATATTCATAGTAAAACTAACATTCAGACCTAGGTCTGATCGACCTCAAAGTTTGTGTGGTTTTGTTTTTTAATGCTGGGTCTCACCCTGTTGCCTAGGCTGGCCTTGAACTCAGTCTTCCTGCTTCAGCCTCTCGAGTAGGATTACAGGTGTGGGCCACTGTACCTGAGTTTGGGGGTTTAACCATCAGAATGTGTAAGTATCTTCTTTCTTACCTGGGTGTTGATAAGTCTGAAAAGCTTTGTACCCCTTCATTTTATGAACCTCTTACACAAGATTTTTAAAGTTCTATTTAAATGTGTCCACTAGATGGCAACCCTCCATTTTAAAATCAGTTTTTGGTTTTTGTTTTGATTTTGTTTTTTGAGACAGGGTCTCACTATGTAGTTCAGGCTGGCCTTGAACTCACTAGGTAGCCCAGGCTGGCCTTGAAATCATGGTGATTGTCCTGCCTCAGCCTTCCGAGTGCTGGGATTATGGACATGAGCCACCATGCCCAGCTTAATTTTTGAGACAGGGTCTCACTATGTAGTTCAGGTTGACCTTGAACTCACTATGCAGCCCAGGCTGTCCTCAAACTTGTGATCTTCCTGCCTCAGCCTCCCAATTGCTGGTATGGCAGGTGTGCACCACCACATCTGGCTGGAGCTTTATAACAAGTCCTGAAATCAAATAAGGTGAGTTCTTAAAGCTTTTTAAAGAAATTTCTTCAAACTTATTTTGACTATTCTAGTTACTTTGCCTTTCTGTGTAACTTTTAGAATCAACCTATCAAAAAAAGTGGAGATGGGCACGGTGGTGCTCATCAGTAATCCCAACATTCCGGAGCTGCAGGGCCTGTATTCCTAAAACTTAGGGGGCTGAGGAAGGAGAATCCTAAGTCCAGGCCAAGCTTGGGCAACATACAAGCTCAAGCCTGGCACTGAAAATCAAGACTGTCTCAAACAACAACAACAAACACTAAATAATACAGTGGATCCTCCTGTTACAGGCAGGCTCACATACAAACAACTTGGCTTACAACTGGAATTTTAGTTTTTTCCTTTAAAAAAATTTTTTTTTTCCTTTATTTTTTTGGGGGGTACCGGGGATCGAACTTGGGACCTTGAGCTTGCGAGGCAGGCGGCAGAATCACTGAGCTAAATCCCTGGCCCCCTGGAATTTTAGTGTTTTTTTTTGGTACTGGGAATCAAACTGGGGTCCTTGCGCTTTCACAGCAGGCGGCGAAACCACTGAGCTAAATCCCCAGCTGGAATTTTAGTTTTAACTTAGACCAAAGTATTGAGTTACAACTCAAATGCTGGCCATTTGTGTGACTGTAAACAAAGGCAATGTCAGAAAAGCATATGCAAGCATTCATAAGTGTCAGTCTAAGCCCAGATGTGCATTTTTTTGTTGTTTTTTTTGTGTACTGGGGATCAAACTCATGACCTTGCACTTGCAGGCACGGTTCCACTGACCTAAATCCCTGGCTCTTTTTTTAGTCTTTTGTTTTGTTTTTGGTACCGGTGATCGAACTCAGGTCCTTCCACTTGCGAGGCAGGCGGCGGAACCACTGAGCTAAATCCCTGGCCCTCTTTTTTTAGTTTTTGAGACAGTGTCTCACTGAGTAGTTCAGGCTGTCCTTGAACTTACTATGTAGTCCAAGCTGGCCTCGAACTCACAGCAATCCTCCTGCCTCAGCCTCCTGAGTACTGGCACTACAGGTGTGTGCCAGCATGCCCAACTCAGATGCTCATGTTTGTGGACGTGACTTCAGTCAGCATGGGGTTTGTGTTTGTTTTGTTTTGTTTTGTTGAGTCAGGGTCTCCCTTTGTAGTTTCAGGCTGGCCCTGAACTATGTAGCCCATGCTGGCCTCAAACTCACAGCAATCTTCCTGTCTCAGCTTCCTGAGTGCTGGGATCAAAGGTGTACACCACCACGCCTGGCTTCGGTCAGTGCTTTATTTAATCACTACAATTACTGCTGTCAAAATGGCCCCCCAAAAGCTAGAAAAGAAGCTAAGGAAGGAGAAGAAGGTAAAGAAAGCAATCAGAAAAAGAAAGAAATTTTGGAAAAATATGGTAGTGTTTATGTCACCAATCTAACTAATATGTACAGCATGTCAAAATCCACCATCTCAACAATCACAAAAGAGTTGTGTAAGGAAGCTAGTATTGCCGAAGATGTTACTCAAATTAAAGTCATGACCAACAGTGTTGGATGAAGTAGACAGGCTACTATTAGTGTGGATTAGTAAACAGCAGAAGGGAGGTTATAGCCTGAGTCTGTAATTTGTGAAAAAACTAGGGATATAAATGCAGATCTCATAAAGGGTAATCCATCAATGAGTGATAATGGTGATAATTCATGCCAGTAAGGGGTGGTTTCATAATTTTAAAGGGAGAACTGGAGTTCATAGCATAACTAGGCATGGTGAAGCAGCCAGTGCTGACAAAAGGGCTGCTGAAAATCACACCACTTCAGAACAACATAGAGAAATAGCTTTTGCTCTCATCAAGTTTTCAGCTGATGAAACTGGACTTTTCTGCAAGAAAATGCCCAGGAGAACATATGCTACCCAGGAAGAGAAGAAAATGCCAGGGCACGAGTCTATGAAGGATAGGCTAACCTTGTTGCTATGTGTCAGTGTGAGTGGTGACCTCAAGAAAAAGCCTCTTTTGGTTTATCATTCTGAGACCCCTACAGTGTTCAGAAAAAAAGTCATGAAGACTAAGGCTAGGGGTCATGAGGAGATCTAATGCAAAAGCCTAAGTAACAAGAATACTTTTTCTTGAGTGGATCAGGGAGGCTTTCTGTCCTACTGTTAAGAAATATCTAGAGGACAGGGTCTGGGGATTTAGCTCAGTGGTTTTGCCGCCTGTGGTGTAAGCGCAAGGACCCAAGTTTGATCCCCAGTACCAAAAAAAAAGATTTATCACTCAAGGCTCTCCTCACCATGGACAATGTTCCTGCTCACCCACAAGATTTGAGAGAATTGGCTGAAGAATTCCCATGGCCCTCAGTCGAGTTCCTCACACCTAATACAATTCTTCTACCGAAGCCTATGGATCAGCAGGTTATAGCTAAGTTTAAGAAACTATACATCAAGGAACTGTTCCTGAAGTGCTTCCAGATGGTCTCAGATACAGATTTAACCCTTGAAGAGTTCTGGAAGGAACATTACAGCATCCTTTCCTGTGTGGGGTTAATTGAGCAATCCTGAGCCAATGTCTCTCTAAGGACACAGCAATCTGCCTGGAAGAAAGTGTGGCCTAAAATTATACAGGAGAGAGACTCTGAAGGCTGTGTAGAGGAGCCTGAGCCTTAGGTGACCCTGTGGTTGATGACACTGTCACGATAGCAGACGCTGCCTGCCGCACAAGTGCAAGGACCCGAGTTTGATCCCTGGTACCAAAAAAAAAAAGATCAACCAACAATAGCAGAGTCCATAGGCTTGCAGGTAGACAGCGGTGATGTTGAGGAACTGGTGGAGGAACTCTCAGAGGAATTGTCTACAGAGGAACTTCAGCAACTTCTGGCTAAGCAACAGAGAATGGCAGCTGAGGAGCTTTCTGAAGGGGGGGCGGGGAGTATCAACAATCAGTGCAGAAAAATAAAGGAAATAAATAAAGGAAATCCTGAAAAAATGAACAGAGCTACAAACATTTGTGGAGAAGACCCACCCAGACAGAGAAAAAGCCAATCTCTACATTTAACTGCCTAATGACAATATCATGTCATACTACAGAACAGAGTTAAAAGACAGAAACAACCTTAGACCAGTTGAGACCTAGTGAGCCAGAAGGAGGTCCTAGTGGGCTACAGACTCTCCCAAGGAGAGAAAGGACACCAGAGGGCCAGTTCCCTGATGTTCTTATGGAAAGGGACTTCCTTCCAAACAATAACCACTTTCCATTTCATCCTCCCTTCCTGCAAGCCAAAGTTGAGAAAGAAGTCAAACTTGAATGGTGAGTATAGTATGAAATTGTTGTTTCTGGTAAACTAGGCACATTTTATCACTTTTTGGTGAATACACTAGGAAAATTATTGATGTTTCTGGTAAATTACATACATTATACAACCTTTTTTATTATGACAAGTTTAGTTAAAGGGTGCTTTGGGTGGTCTGGAATGCATTGTAGATATTTCTATTATTTCTTATGGGAAAAATAGTCTTACAACCAACGTGAGTTCAACCAGCCCTCGAGAACGAACTATTTGTAAGTCAAGGGTCCACTATGTTGTTTAGAGCAGTGTTGTCTAGCAGAACACTCCAGAGTGATGGCAACTGTATTCTATGACTCTGTGTCCAAAATGGTACCAGCTAGCAATATGTGCCTATTAAGTACTTCAAACACAAGCCAGCTGGGTGTGATAGCACATGCCTGTAATTCCAGCACTTGGGAGGCTGAGGCAGGAGGATTGCTGTGAGTTTGAGGTCAGCCAGCGCTACATAGTAAGTTCAAGGCCAGCCTGAACTAACAGTGAGACCCTGTCTCAAAAACAAAACACAAGCCAGCATGTTGGCACCGCCTGTAATCTCAGTATTCTGAGATACTTGTGGGAGGATTTCAATTTCAGGCCCAGCCTGGGAAAGAGTGACTTACTGAAACCCTACCTCCAAATGAAAGATTTCAGAAGGCTGTGGATATAGCTCAGTGCAAAGGCCATTATGCTTTGCTTCTCTAAGGCTTTTTTTTTGGTACTGGGGATCGAACTCGGGACCTTGTGCTTGTGAGACAGGGCTGGAACGACGGACCTAAATCCCTGGCTCCTTCTAGGCTTACTTTCTAACAACACACTCCCATGAAAAATAACTCAGAGGTCAGCATAATTCCTCCTGGGGAGCACCGACTGCTTCTTCCTTTCCACAATTATTTTCTAAAATATTTGCAGAACAGGGAATTTGTTTCTTGTCAGCCCTAAGTGCAACTTGCAACTTGTTTCTCCCCATCTACTTCCCAACCATTGATTGAAACTCAGCCCCCGGGTCTTTCCTTCCTTTCCCACATGTCATCATCATATTCCCAGCTGCAATACTTTTATTTAATGCTGCCAACCATGTCAACCTCAGAGGGGTGTCCTTTTTTATTGATCGCTACTTTTATTCCCTACCATGTGACCAACCTCCAGACTGGCACAGGCCACACTCTTCCCTTGTACCTGGAGGGTTGAAGTTAACAGGGCAAAGCTCAGCCTAACTGAAGAATGACAAAACAACCTGGGCTGGTGGTGCAAACCTGTAATACTCTCGGTCAGGCTCAGTCCTCAACTTTGTACCGTAGCGCCTTAAATTTGACTTTATCACCTCAACCTGAGTTGATGTATTAAAGGCAAACTACTTTAAAGCTATTAAGAGATTGATCTGCAGCACAGAAACTTGGGCTCCTGGATGGTTCTGCTGCCTCCAATGGCAACCTCTGCACCTGCACCTGCGCTGCCTTCCCTGCCTGTCCGAGGCCCCTGGTGTGGACACCGCTGCTCCTGGCAGCCTCCCTGGTGCTCTGGGCCTGAGCAGGCAGTGTCCCGGGGGGCTCCACACCGTCCGCGCTTCCGTGCCGCTCGGACCCAGACGGGCGTTGCCAGTTAATGACCACGCAGACCCGGCCGAGGGAAGCACACCTAACCCGCCGCTGTCCTGGGAGTGGGCGCCACTCAGAACTCCCACCCCGGCATCTCATCCGGCCAACTCGTCCGGGCAACTCGTCCGGCCCCGCAGCCCGCCCGCCCGCCGACCAGGCCGGGTCATCGCGCCGCCGCCATCTTGCGTCTCTCCCGCCAGAGCCGACATGGGGCTGGTGAGGCCCGCGCTGCTGCGGCTGCTGCTGCTGGGGAGCGCTCTCCTGTGTGCCCAGCCCCGCTCACTCGGAGAGGCTGGTGGTTTGGGCTGGGCCGAGGCGGCGCACGGGCGGCAGGAGGACCTGGCCGCGAAGGGCAGTGTTTGTCCACCCGTTCCCCGGCTCTGCACCCCGCGCCTCTCCAGCCCCCCTAGGTGTTAGCGTGGCTCCTTCTCTCCCGTCCCACCTACCTGTAGCCACTGTGTCACAGGCCTGAGCTGCTTCTGGAACCACTCCAGTGTTAGGCGTATACTTAGGTTCTGTGTATGTGCTTCCTACAGTTCTGGAGTTTATCATTCTCACTGTACAGATTGATAATTCATCGGCGAGTTGAAAGGGCATTTGGGTGACCTTTTCTTAATACAGTTGCGTCTAACAAGTTAAATGGCCAAGAACTAGAATGTGCAGCTCTCACCACTCAGGCTTGCTTCTCAACCCCTCCTTGGGGCTGGGATTGGAAGGGGGATTGAATCCCAGACCTCACACATGCCCGCTCCACAACCTCGGCCCCCTACCCTCAGCCTCTTAATCACTTTTACACAGGGCAGCACATGATAACTGGCCAGAGACACTTACATCATTTTTATACTTTTGGGAGTAGTTTTAAAATGGTGCTATTTGAAAGTAATCAACTGTGGTATGTTTATTTCTCCTTTAAGATTCTTTCAAAATCTAGGCATGCCTCAGGTATCCAGCTTGACTCATCAGTTTTTAAAAACAGGAATTTAAAGGTTTATATTAATGTGTTCAGATTAGGAAGTAACAGATACTCAGGAATATAGATGCTTAGCTCAACTAATATACCATTTTTATCTTTAGATTGTGGATCAGCACCACTTAGAGATGTGTTGAGGGGGCCTGGGATTGTAGGAGGCACAGAAGCTCAAGCTGGGGCCTGGCCGTGGATAGTCAGCCTGCAGGTTCAAGACGACTCTGTTCTTATTCATGTATGTGGAGGAAGCCTAGTGAGAGACAAGTGGGTCCTCACAGCTGCCCACTGCACTAAAGACTCTAGGTATGTATTCAGCCTGGAACTCCGTAGAGGACCATTTGACTTAAGCCACATGGTGAACAAGTGGCCGTAACTGGAATGCATTATACTGTACTCTATAGTACACTGCATTTATTGAAGTGAATCATTTAAAGTAGAGTTTGGAAACGTTACTTGGTAAAGATAACTAATACTTTAGTTTCCAGGTTATATGGTGTCTCTTGCAATTACTTAGCACAAATGTAGCCATAGAGCATACATAAATGAATGAATGTGACTCTGCTCCAATAAAAACTTTTATATAAACACAAGGTTAATGCTAGATGTGGTGGCCCATGCCTGTAATCCCAGCACTCAGGAGGCTGAGGCAGGAGGATCACTACAAGTCCAAGGTCATTGTGGGCTACATAGTGAGTTCAAGGCCAGCCTGAAGTACATAGCAAGACTCTGTCTCAAAAACCAAAACAAGGGCTGGGGATTTAACTCAGTGGCATGGCGCATGCCTTGCAAGTGAAAGGTCCTGAGTTTGATCCCCGGTACCAGAAAAAAAAAAATCAAAACAAAACCCCCCACGAGGTTTAAAGTTCATATCAATTAACCAGTTATACATGTTTTTTTAAGTACTCGCAAATGTGAGAAACATGCTTTACTTATGGACTAGATTAAAAACAAGAGACAGGCCATGTTTGACCATGGCTCTTAGACTGTAAGACCCCTTTCCTTCATGTGCAGCAACCCATAAAAGCCTCACCTTGAGTCTAATTGAGGTGACCAAAAGCCTTAATGCTCGACCTTCCTGTGAAATCCAGTATCTCTTCTCAGTTTCCATCCTCATCTTGCTCTCGATACCGTGGGCAATACGGACAGCGGGCTCTCCTGGAAGGTGTCTCTTTTCTTGATTTCTAAGACACACTGCTGGACAACAATGCTTTAAAGGGGGTGGGGAGAGGGAGAGAGAAAAGCAAAAATTGATAAGTGGAAAACAAGAAAATAAATGAAAGCTGGTTCCTTGGGGTGGGGGACAGTAAAATCTTTAAACCTCTGGCAAGAATGACTTAAAGAGGTAAGACACAAACCACTAATACTGTATCAGTAAAGAAAATGGGGAATCAGTGCAGACACAACAGCTATTAAATAGATAACAATGAAATACTACTGTACAGTCAGGCTTGAAGGGAGAACAGGTATTTAGGCATTTGTATGAAGTGAAAAGTCCTTCCTAATTCAATTCCAGATATAGCAACTGTTAACCCCCTGGGGATATAATTGGGTGGTTGGTTTTTTGCTTTTTAAAATTTCCCTTCTGCCTCCCCCCACCCCCTGTCCATCACGGATCCCTTCCCATTTGCAAAAGACCTATCTCCCTGTTTCCTATTCTCAATCTTTTATTTAGATGTTTTGACGATTTGTACTTCGGGTTTCTCGTAACACAATATTTAAGTTTGTGTGTCTGACTCATTTCAGTTAACATTATGGTCTCAAGGTGCATCCATTTTCCTACAAATGACTCAAATTTACCCTTCTTTAGAGCAGAATAGTACTCCATTATGTATAAATACTGTATTTTCTTCTATCTATTCATCTGTCGATGAGCATGTATACCACTTTCAGGCTTTAGCTATTATGAGTTGTGCCGCAATAAACATGGATATGCATGTATTACTATAATACAATGTCTTTAACCCTGGGGAAGAAGGGGAGTAGCTGGGTCGAATAGAATTTCTATTTTTTATAGGATCTTTTATTTTTTGGTACCAGGGATCGAACTCAGGACCTTGCGTTTGCAAGGCAGGCTCCGGAACCACTGAGCTAAATCCCCAGCCCTAGAATTTCTATTTTTAGTATTTTGAGGCATCTCCGTACTGATTTCCATAGTGGTTGCACCAGTTTACATTCCCATCAACAATGCAGAAGGGTGCCTTTCCTCGCAGCCTCACATGCATTTTTTTTTTTTTTGGTACCGGGGATCAAACTCAGGACCTTGTGCTTGTGAGGCAGGCTGTGGAACCACGGAGCTAAATCCCCGGCCCTCACATGCATTTTTTGATAGCCAGTCTTTCTGGAGTAGATGGAATCTCAGTGTTTTTCTAATTTGCATTTCTCTTATGACCTGAGATGTTGAGCTGTTGAGCATTTCTTTTTTTTTTTTTTTTTGGTACCAGGGATCGAACTTGGGTCTTTGTGCTTGTGAGGCAGGCGGCAGGTGGCGGAACCACTGAGTTAAATCCCTGGCCCCATTTCTCATATATTTATTAGCCATTTGTACTACTTCTGACAAGTGTCTGTTCATTTCAGTTGCCCAGTTTTTTTGACTGGGTCTTTTATTTTGTGGGGTCTAATTTTTTTTGAGCTCTTTGTAAATTGTAGATATTAGTCCTCTGTCCAAGGTGCAGCTGGCAAAAATTTTTTTCCATTCTATAGATTGTTTCTTCATTCTAATTGTTTCCTTTGCTACGCAGAAGGCTTTTAAATTTGCTATAGTCCCATTTGTTGTTTCTTGATGCTATTTCTTTTGCAATTGGGGTTCTGTTTAAAAAGTCCTTTCCTGTATCTATGTCTTCAAGAGTTTTACCTGTTTTATCTTCCAGTGGATGTGGTGTTTCTGTTTTAATATCTATCTCTTTGATCCATTTTTATTTTGGTGCATGATAGGAGATACGAGTCTAGAATCAATCTTCTATGTAACCAGTTTTCAGAGCACCATTTGTTAAAGAGGCTGTCTTTTCTCCAACATATGTTTTTGGTTCCTCTGTCAAAGATCAAATAGCTGAATGTGTCTAGGGGTGTTTCTTTATTCTCTACTCCATTGATAGTGAACCTTTCAGATACAAACTCACTGTGGCATGCATGTTACAGGTTTGCCACCACTGCTCTGTTCTGTTCCATTGATACACATGTCTGTTTTTGTGCTAGTGTCATGCTGTTTTTTTATTTTTTTTTGGTACTGGCGATCATTTACTTGTAGAAACTGTCTAATTTCTTCTTTAATTTCCTCTGTGACCCATTGGTTGTTCAAGAGGGTGTTATTCAGTTTCCATGTGTTTGTTGGGGTTTTCCGGTTTCTTATGTTATTGATCTCCAATTTTATTGCACTATGGTCTGATAATACACAGGGGGTAACTTCAATTCTTTTACATTTACTTAGACATGTCCTATGAGCTAG